ATAAACCATATACAGAAGTGCTACACTAAATGAATAGTGCAGCATATTGAGGGAATGAGAATGCAATTCAAAACCCAAGTAAGGCAAATTGGAGTCAATGAAATTTATTTCCAAGTCAATTTGTATAGGACTTCACTTTGGAAACAGAAATTGGTTCAAAATTCACCTAATGTTTGTAATCCATTCTGAATTGCCACTCTCCACCTGCAAGCAACCTAGTTTGCAGCACTGTTATAAAAATTCTTGAAATAAGTATAAACTATAGTTAGTATATTGAAGTATCATATAAGTGCTAAATGTTATTATTAACACACTTTTTGAAATAGAAAACACACATTGGAAATAAATATTTGTTTTATTAACACTTAAAAGTGCCATTATCTATAGTCATTCCATAAGCTCATAAGGTTACATCCAGTATACCTTTGCACCATAACCTTTCCAGAATGAAATAACATGGAAAGAAAAAAAATCTTTCTTGTATTAATTCTTGCAGGTCCTCATGCACAATCGTTCTGAACGAAGATGTGTACCAGCAATATACACATTTCATAAAACAAAGTCATTTGGTCAAACACAAGATAATAAAACATGGCTTACTTTATATTTGATAAAGACCCCAAAATAAAATAAAAAGCCATTTACCAGCAAGAAAATAATGGATAAATACATAGTTTTTTAAAAAAAAATTTAAAAATTATACATTTTGTACAAGCACTATAACAAAGTCCTAATGTGCATGAACAATGGAACAAACCACACCATACCAGGCCATTAGTACACTCTTAAAAAAAAAAAAGAATACCAGTTCTGTGTTGATTCTTAATATCCCCAGTGCTCTATTTACCCAACCTTTTAGTTGGTACGTCTTAATCATAACACAAAGATTCTTTCAACTAGGTTGTCAACTTAAATTTAAACATTAATTGGTATTCTGCTAGTACCTTCAATATGCTTTAATTTTCCCAGTACCAGAAAACAAGGAAAGATTTAAGATCAAGAGGGAGACATAACATTCATTGTAACAAAAGGGAACAGGCAATAAAAACATCATCTGACTTTTCTAAGACTGGTTATGTGTCTCAATTTTCTCAAGCAGCTATAAATTCAAAGATTGCTTTCAGCTTTGCAGAACAGTATTACTATTCTCTGTATCAAGGAAACACTTTTTAGGTTTGTTTTTTAAAAAAGAGAGAGAGAGAGAGAGAGAGATACAATCCTTACAAGACAAACCAAACCATTGTCCAGCCAGAGTGTTTTAATATACAATTCATGTCCAATTCTGGAAATACAAATACATTTTGAATGGTTAAAAACAAAAATTAAAAAAATATTTTCTGAACATCAGCCAGCTGAAAATATATTTATCTAGTAAATTATCTCTCAAAGCTTTTATATATTTATCTAACTAAACGCAGTACCTTTAAAAAAATTATTTAAAAATGTAGAAATGAATCTGTGGAGTCTGTCGGAAAGAGAAAACACAGTACATAGAAGGTATTTTTATATACCTTATATTTGAAAAGTTAGACACCTTTGCCACAATCCAAAGTCTACAGAGGCTTTGATGAGTGCATGAAGTTTCATTGTAAGCAGTGTTTCCTTAGTCGCTCCATACTTCTGAAAAGTTTGCATGCACTCTCCTCACACACAGGTGAAACGGTTTGATATTTGGCCAATTTTCCAGTCAAATAATGGTCAAATACTCAAAACTGTGAATGTGAAAAGACTTACATTAAAGCAGGAAAGAGAAAACTCAGTTAATTGCTACTTTAAACCAATTATGTCACTATCTATTTGCCAATATTTGGTGTGTTCCAACAGTATGAAGTGAGCTGGGAAATCCCTGTTCACAAATAATTCCGTTTGTGTGCAGGTGTGTGTGTGTGTGTGTATGTGTGTGAAAAAGAGAGAGACAAAGCTGCTTAGATGCAACCAAGTTGCTGGATTAGATCTATAATGGGGAACTAGCAAGCAACGCTAATGTCCTGAGTTCCTCAACCAAGATAAAGCCAGAAGTTGACATACATTTATACTGAATTAGAAAATCCTCATACATTCAAGACAGTAGTACATTGCACACATACATTTTTTGCATACACTCCATAACAGTTGGTCAGAGTATTAAATCAGTGTACAAATTAAACATTTTCAAAAAATGTGCAAAAGAGTCAACATCGATAGAAAAAAATACCATTGTGTACATACATTACAAACTGTGCCCAGCATTCGAACAGAGAGTAAAAACATTTAGAGAAATCAAGGGATTAAATAGAGAATTTGACAGCTGCATAAAAATGTACATTAGATCAAAAGGATAAGATTTATATATTATTATTCATAGCTTTATTGAAAAATGAGTCTGCCATTGACTTCCTCATATATAGTGACACTTGCTAGAGGTATGACAGTATGAATGCATCAGAATTGTGGTAATCTATTTGTGTTTTACAATTAAAAGTATCAAGTTTTAATCTGGTGATATTAGCAAAACAATCATACAAAAAGCAAGCAACATGAAATCGAGATCTTAGACCCTGTTCCAAAAGGAAAGCACAATATTTTTTCTTAAAATTGATTATGTGCCTGTTGGGTGCACACGTGCATACTTATGTGGGGTTGCATGGGGACGTATGGCATGTGAAGTTAATGAAAATGGGATAATTCTAAACAAGTTTACTCTGAATATTCCCATGATTGATTCTGAGCTTTCCCAGAATACAGAGCCAGTAAGTGTCTTAGGAAAGTAGTTCTAATTTGTCCTCCACCGCAGAATGGAAATTCTCAGTAATATAAACCATCCCTCCCTTGTAAGTCAATCATTTATATTTGAATAGGTCACAATGAAACACCCTGGGAGAAATTTACTAGCTTTTCTGTGTTTACTTCTTGTTTAGTAAAGGGAGAAAAGGAAAAAAAAATTGTACTAGAGAGCATTTACGTAATTCCCCACCTATTCCCAAAGGAATGTAATAGTTTTGCTATGTACATTCTCATTTGAGATATGAAAAGTCTGCACTTTCAAGGTAAAAATGCTGCTAAGATCCCAGTAGCTTTGAAATCTCAGCTTTGCTCACTTGCATGTGTGTCTTCAATGTTCACTGTCCTTAAAGACATTAAAGAGACTAAGGCTCTAAATTG